GAAAATGTCAGACAAGACTGAAAAAAGCGAATAATAGTACTTGATGCTGGATGTCGTGGTCGGGGATATGGCCTGGGCGGGGAATTCCACCACGGTCGACTACAGCACGTTCAACCCTTTCAACGATCGGAAATATTTCCACGACTACAAACTACTCTCTTCGGACCCCACAAATGACACTTGTGTTTTGGATGTGGGTTTCTCTCTACGATGGTTGCAGGGGATGTGCTAAAAATGGGCATTAGTGCTGGATGGGAGACAATATTGTCTCGCTCCCAGATCTGCGAAATGAGGACGAGCAGGTTCAGCGCATGCTGGGCACTTGGGTCTCGGAGCTGGTCTCAAACTACTCTGGTGAGTTCTATGTTTCATGTGGTGTCTATGATTTTCTCAATAACACCTGTGTGGGTAGTCGATGGGCTGCGTATCGACAGCGTCTTGAACATTGACCCCGACTTTTTCTCGAGCTTCAACAAATCCGCGGGAGTTTTCCTTTTTGGCGAAGGTGCGACAAAGACTGCAGCAGACATTTGTCCACTGCAGTCTGATCTAAACGGACTGCTGAATTATCCGTTGTGAGTACACACACCGATATGTATTCGCAGAAGGAGTGTTGATTTATTTCAGGTATTATATCCTCACCAACGCCTTCAATACGACACATGGCGACCTGAGCGCCATTTTCCAGTCTATTGACTACACCAAGTCACTGTGCACGGTGAGAGTTGGCTGACCCCTGAAATGGTAATCTGAAACTAACTATTGGCAGGACGTTCTGGCCCTGGGAACGTTCACATCGAATCAGGATGTCCCTCGCTTTGGCTCGTATACTTCGGACATATCCGTAAGTTTATTCACAGCCCCCAGTGTGAGGGTGAGCCTACCTAGTCTAATCTTGTGGCCGTCGAATAGCTTGCTCGCAATATTCTCACCATCAGCATGCTGGCAGACGGTATACCCATTCGTATGTTCTTGTTCCAGCTCTCTCTCCACCTACACAACCAGTCCGAAGTACTAAGCGAGTCAACGCAGTCTATTACGGTGAAGAGCAGCACCTATCGGGGGCATTTAACCCGGTGAATCGTGAGGCTCTCTGGCGCACGAACTACTCGATGGATTCGACCTCCCTCCCGTCGCTCGTCCAATCGCTGAACCGCATTCGATCATATGCCAGCGGGGATGGCAAACAGTACACGCTCAAGTCGCAGGCTGGGCGTGACTATCTCTCGTACCTGTCCTTGCCGATCTACAACTCGACCAACATTCTGGCCATCCGCAAGGGCTTCGCTGGCAATCAGGTTGTGAGCGTCGTATCTAACCTGGGAGCCAAGCCCGCCACCAAAGCCACCACCAAATTCACCCTGGGCGCCGACGGCACGGGTTTCCAATCCCGACAGAACGTGACGGAGATCCTTTCTTGCAAAACATTTGTCACCGATGCCAGCGGCAATCTCACGGTTGACCTCAGCTCGGATGGCGGTCCTCGGGTGTACTATCCCACTGACAGCCTGAAGAAGAGCAGCAATATCTGTAAGGATGAATCCTCAACCGGAACCTCGAGTAGCTCGTCAGCCTCGTCAGCAAGCCCCTCGTCCTCCACCGGGGCTCAGTCTTCCTTATTCGGTCTGTCGAGGGAGATAAGGACGATGCTGGTGACGGCAGCCATGGCCACCTCTTACTTAGTCATCTAATCCTGTCAACTGCCCCTCCTTCATCATTCCCTCCTTTGATTCTTTTTCCCCTTTCTTTCTTTTTTTTCTTTTTTTCTTCTTCTTTGTCGATTTGCCGTGTTGGTCTTATTATTAGATGGTCGAGATTCTGCCTTCACGAAGACAGACTACATTTGAGTTTGCTGCTATAATACAATAATTCACTACGCTATAAGACATTAATTCAAGTCTGGGCGCAGTTTTCTGTTTCTCATTGCTTTGTCAATTTGGACCTCGTCGTCCGTAGCAGCGATAGTTTTTGCAGTGTGTGGCTCTGCAACGCATCCACGCTTGTTGAGAGTCCTTAAGCATGTCCTTCAACAGCATGCCTCTATTTCACACGCAACGTCATACATTTGTATGATTGTATGACTATCTCGGGATTTCCGACCGTGCCCAAGCTTCCAAATTTCCGTGGGTCGCCCTGAGTGTCGGGCACAGCCACCAGCTCCCATCGGCTTCGGTTGCCCCAGTTTACAAACCACGGCAGTTTGTTTGACAGTTGGCGCAGACACTGACTTGGCCAATGTCATTTCGAAGGGAAATCTTACCGTCAGGACGGGCTATATATTACAGACGTGACAGAACGATACACACAAAAATAGAATAACAAACTTGATAGCCTCGATTCCCAAGCCTTATCGGCACCGCCGGATTGGAGACTTGCCTTTCTTAGCGCCGCCCTAGCGCTGACATCAGAAGAACCCTGGTTAGTGCAAAGCTTGAGTCCTTTTTATCGGTAAGGGTAATTTACCCCATCTGATTGGGAAGATATTGTGGAATCATCCCAACACAGCATGACAGATCACTGATTCAGTCATCGATCCTTTTAGTCCCCGTTTGTTGTCATTGACGTGGGCACCGGGATGGCGATTGCGTGACTATTCGCCTCTGCTTCAGTCTCCACAGGCGAGGCTCAGCTCGTACTGGAGATCACCTCGTATTGCTGCTCCCTGCTCTCTAAGGCCCAGACAATCTGCGTGTCTCATTCTGTCGGGCTTCAACTGGATTGAAGGGTGTTGACAGTTTGAGTGTTTTCTTCCAGGAGGTACAGATAGCCATCAGCACACTGCACAAGTATTATCTGCTGTATATATAGTTGTATTCCTGGCAAATCGTGAGACGTTCTCTGTAGCTTGACTAGCCAGCATACTCTGTCGTTGTTGCTTCAAAATGCGTTACTCCTTCACACTCGCTTCTTTGGGCCTGATCTCCTCAGCTCTGGCCATCACCATCACTACTCCGTCATCAGATACGGAATGGGACTTTTCCACCCCGAAAACCATCAAGTTTACCAGCGACTCCAGTGATCCTGAGTATATCAGTATCATCCTGCGCAATGAAGATGGCTCCTTTCAGACCAAGTTGGCGGACAACGTGAAGACCTCCGAGGGGGAATACACCACTCAACCCAACCCTAGCATTTCCAACGGGTATGTAGCCTTAGCCGAGAAACATCGTGATTCTCGCCAAGATTGGAATCGCTGAGTTGACTTTGCCTTCGTGGTACCTTAGAGATGACTACGAGATCCAGATCATTGATTCATCAGGGCAGCTCGCCGTAAGCCCGGTGTTCACAGTCGAGAAGGGTGCTTCGAACGATGGTACAACGTCCTCATCCTCATCCTCCTCATCTTCTTCTTCCTCATCCTCATCGACCACTTCATCGTCCTCAACGTCCACCTCCACCACCTCTACCACCTCCACTACTTCCTCTACATCCAGTGAGACCACTTCTACCTCAATCACCACCACCACCACCACTACTCCAGGATCGTCGACACCTGCGTCGTCGATCACACCTTTGTCTTCTTTAGGCAAGACCATACTTCACACACAGCTGCAAGATGACCATACTAACCTGGCTGCTGTTTCCGTCACAGGTACGAGTACCGCGGCTTCGTCGAAGGCTACGATCACTACCGCATCCTTGGCGTCCAGCTCCAACTCGACCAGCACTACCGCGACTGCCGCCGCGCAGCAGTCGGTCGGTGCCGCGGCGTCTACCGCCGGGACTACCAAGGGGGCGCTGGCTCTGCTGGGTGCGGTGGTCGCGCTCTTCTACGCCTGACGCTGATGAGATGCAAGATTATTGAAGCGTGCATGCATGCGCTCATCTCCGTGCTACGGGCGAAGGGGGTTGAAGGACTAGGCTATTACGATCGCGGATTCTGTTATGCTTCACACGGTAGTTTCGATAGACAGTTAGCAAATTGAACATGTTACCATACCGGTGGTCTATGCATCATAAGCCTCAAATTATTGCCAGAATACTTTGATGTACCCCTACGAAGGGGAGTGTTAATTCCTCGATATATTGGCTTGGTTGACTGCGGGGTGTTGGCTACTTTTGATCGCGTAGTACCCTATCTTGCTCAAATCTGCGATACTGCGGAAGAGTCCCCATGTATCACTCCCCTTGTACGACATCGCCCTTCGCAGCGGTTCAAGGTTCATTGAGATTTTATTGCAGAGATATTGCATCGCGGTGTCTTCGGTACTGGACGACAACGGGGTAATAGGTAGCTCTTTCCTACCACGTACAGAGCAGGATGTTTCGATTTCCATTCGATCGGCCGTGGGGGTATCTAGATAGTCGATGAATTACCTAAATCTTTTTACTTCTTTTTTCTCAGCATCCAACCCGCGCGGAAAATGAGATTTGTAACCCATTGAGGGGGATTCCACAGAAGCGGGACCAGCGTGCATAAGTGCACCTGCAGTTTCTCCCACTATCCGGAATTCCTCCGCACACCGCAACTCCTCTTCCTCTAAGCTCAAAAGTTTTCGGTCCTTCAAAGAAGGTTCTTCGGAGATGCAAAGCTTCATCGGTATGTTGGTTGAAACATGCATATTCTACTGGCGAGATTTTGTGATGTCACTTGGTCAGACCTATCGATCCTGGAGCGGCGATATACATCTCACCGCTTTGCGAGCTTTTGCTGATTACGGCCATGTCTTACCTGGTGAGATATGTCAGCTCGTCTGAGTTGCCTATCTCGATAATAACGTTTGCTGACGACAGACAATTTAGAAGCAGAAAGTACCTTCACATCTTACGGTTAGAACTAGCTGCTGTGATCGCATGCCGAAATATGGATAGTGAGCCGAACGGTCGCCGAAAGCCGTCTGACCCTGGTGCTGGGCACACGCCAAGACTAATCAGTTAAGAGAATCCATGAGCCCTCTGGAAGCGCGTGGATTAAGGCATGGTGATTGCTAAATATAAAGAGCAGAAGCAAGGTAGACTCCGTCTTCTGAGACAGCTTCTGAAGTTGGCAACCGCCGCGGATTTTCTGCTTGGACACCGCCTTGATGCGGTCGGGTGCCTTTTTTCCATGCGGACTGCTGCTTGGGAACCTGCGTCAAGAGCCACCTTCCCCTCATCATTATTGGAATTCATTCGCTCATCAGCAGCCACCGTAGAATTCGGCAAGTTGGTCCTGGTCCTGCTTCAGACTTCTGCGGTGCACTGCCAGGTCGGAACTCAAAACAGCAGCACCATTTGTGAGGTTTTCCGCTGCCAAGACGCCCGCTGCTGATGATGGAGGAGTCAATTTGACCTGCCTGCGCGATCGAACCTCGGCAGCCTTTGGCCCACTCTCCTAGGGTTCCAGCAGGAACGGGGCTCTGGGTTTGATTCCATGTGAACTTGGACGCCTTTTAACTGGTCTTATGCCTCGTGAGCACAGTACAGTCAGCATGGGTTTGAAGGAATGACCCTTGAAGTGGGTGCAAGCCACATTGATTCGTCGCGAGAAACAACAGACTCTCGTATACTTTCCCTCGACAAGAGCCTCGCGTCATGGATCGTGGCAAGACCCTGTCGAGATCCTCTCACTCCACCCTGGATAACTGAATGCTTTGTTACTGGCTCACTAATGATTATGATCTTGGCAACGCTCGGACCAGGAGTGGATTATGGATCATGGATCACAGGCCTTATCGGACACGACCTGCCTTATCATCCCCTGTCGGCGGACCAGCTCTTCCTTCGGGCAGACTAGCTAGGCGGTTAGGATTTGATCCTTCATTCAAGCTGAAGACTCGCTTAATGTAAGCTCACGAGTACGATGACTCCAGGAACTTGTATCTGTTCTATTCCTTCAGTAGCGACTGTTGAACGGCCATTCAACTGGGGCGCAATGTTGAGGTCACCCGTGAAAGCTGGCTTTTCTGGTTTGTATACTGTACGTGGTCATGTCAGCAGTCTCACAGCTCACGGCGCTGATGCACAGTACACCATCCCAGCACTTCCTGTCCACGCACTCATCTGAGGTAGGCGAAACAAGTAGTTATACCACCAAGCAGCTGAGTTATACAACGAGATGAATGATCAAGACGAAACGGTTTAGATAGTTAATCAAGCGCTACTAAGTTAACTAGTTTACATTAAGACAAACTGAGGGTAGATTCCTCAGCATCCACGATCCAGTCACAATCTCAATGCGCACCCAAGCAAATACATATCCCATAGGCTGTCTACTATGAGACTATGTGACTATTGCTGGACCCTCCGGTCATCGATCATCTTTTTAGATACTGTTGGTGGCAGGATATGATAAACAGAGATGAGTACCGAATCTTTTCCCTGGCCGACACAGCTAGACAGCAGCTAAGCCGAGCTTCAGGACAGCCGCTACCCACCACGGGGTTAATGCTACACTGATATTCTTCAAAGGTCCCCACCATCTAGTATACTGATTCGCAAAGCAATGTCGTTGTTATCAGGCGCGAATCTAGGCTCAAGCTGCAACCGAAAGCAGATACGTCATGCTTGCACGGTTCTTCGTCATAGACTCCAAGCTACTTGACTGCACCATAACCTGATCGATCAAGATAAGAATCGCAATTTCCAGCCGGCAAGCTTAATCTTCAAAATGACCCCTGCAACTCCACCATGCCTTAGGACGCAGATTTCCTGAGCCCACCAGGCCTCCTGGTCGACGATGACTTCTGCTTAAAGCTGGCCACATTTCGCACGCTGGCCGAAGTCATCCAGGCGACGGAGAGCCTACCAAGTGACGATGATTCCCTTCAGCAGTACGCTGGCTTCTCGGACAATGGCTATCAGATTGTATGAACCAAGATGTTCTCCTGACACCTGCGGCAATCTGCGTGTTGAGCTTTGCTAACACATCTCAACAGCTATACAGTAAACTGGGCCCAATCGCAGACGAGTTTATGACGGTATGGGACTGCGATTGTTAAGCAGATATTGCTTTCTGCTCATCATCTCTTCTACCGACCCTTGTTGTTACGGATATTGTGTGTGTGTGTGTGTGTGTTGCTTCCACTGACAAGCCTCTATCCCAGGTCCGACAAGTCGCCGCCAATCTTTATGTATGTTCTTCCGGTTATATATCCAGTTCGTGATAAAATCCTCATGACATCTACCACGAAACCAGGGACAATACGAGTACACAGGCTACGTGTGTGACAGCGCCCTGGCTCTTTGCTCCACCGCATCTGATGATTATGGTGTGTATGACCGACACAAAATCCTCGTCGCTCTCTTTGCTCCCACTCCTTCATTTCTCCCCCGTCCTCCCTGTGCCTTTCTCTCGGAAACCCACCGCACCTCCTCACCATCTAATCCTTCGTCCCAGGCTTTGTTAAAAGAAAGGAAACAATAAAAAACAGACAAAATCTTCACCGACTTCGAAGCCATGCGGCAGGACCCCACCAACGACGACCTCCGCGACCACGTCCAGCAGGAGGTGTCCGACCGGCTCAACGTCGTACAGATTCTCTGCGACCAGACCAACAGCTGGAGCGCCAATCTGAATACCTACACCCAGCAGGCGGCCGACTGCCAGACTGCCGTGCAGCAGCTAGCTCTGCCATTCCAGGGCTCCACGCTGCAGGACCAACTGACAGCCGAGGATATTGTTTTCCGCAACTTGTTTTCCGCGACCAGAAGGCAATGAATGGCAGTCACAAAGCCTAGTTACTTAGTTTGACTGGAATATACGAACCCTTCATAAGCGGAAGTACCACGAGCCTGCTTTCTGGTGATGGGACTACCATCTGCGAAGCAAGGTTGGCTGGCTCCAATTATCGTGACGCTGCTGGTGAAAACCTGACAGAGCCCGAACTCACTTTAGGGCCTTTTCTCCCGTAGATGTAAGAACATCTCGCTACCCGGTGTCCGAATGCATTCTCTGTTGGGGCGTCCGAAGCCTGTTATCGCACCACCTCAGCCCCTGATTCTCACAGCTAAGGTCGACGGTGATGGATCTTCGCAGGACGATTCCCTCAACCTTGCCTCTGCCTCCAGAACAGCCATACACCCGCTACGCAGAGCTTGAACGTGGCCGCAATCCACAATGCCGCCTGCATGCCGCCGGCGCTGAGACTCAACCACCCGCCGCAGATGGCACCGACCACATATTATACCGCACCGCATACGCGCCGGTTTCTCTCGGCATTTTTCAGTGGCGAACGAAGCAGATGCGGGTCGGAGGCGATATCGAAGTACACGCTCGTCAGCACGACGATCGGAATGTCGCTGAAGCCCAGGAAGCGAGTCGCGGCCAGACAGCCTGCCGACTGGAACGCCAAGAGCGCGATCGGGATGAGCTCGAGAAAGAGAGGACCACCCGTCAGCGAGGTCGCCGCAGCGGTATGAGGAATGAGGTCTGCTGCGACGAGAGCGCTGGCGATGATGATGAGAGGGGCTTGAACCAGGAACGAGAGACTGGCCGCGGGGTCGGAGGGAGGGGTTGCTGCTGTACTGCACGGTGGGCGGGCTGGATCCGCCGTCGCAGATGGTAGAACTGGGCCCGACAGAGCGGACAGCTGGTGTCGTGGTTGCAGAGCCAGGGGTCGATGCACGGCTGATGGAATCTGTGCTCGCACGGTAGCTGGTGGTAGACCGTTGTGCAATTCAGGGGCTCTAAGCATATGATGCATGTGTCGGGGTCTGTAGAGTCGCTAGTTAGCTAGCTCTCAGATTATAGTCTTCGACCAGGCCGGTGGCTCACCTGTAGGGTCCTGGACTCCTTGATGAAGAGGGAGACGGTGCACATCGACCTCGTAGAAGACGGGCCACATCCTATCGGGTAACATTGGCAGGCGTGGGTGGAGAGTCTGGTATCGAAGGTAGTGTGTACCTGGCCGCTGGCTGGAAGCAGTAGCAGCAGCACCCACGCAAGTGTCAAAGTGCCCTGATTCATTGACGGACTGCGTACAAACCTGGACTATGTGACGTGGGTTGGTGGGAAAGGCTTAGGGCTGCGGATAGCCCGGCTAGAACGCTAAACGCGGATGTCATTAATGTCCTCCTATATGGTCCTAATTAGATATCCCATATTTTTGACAGACTGGTGACTAAATAAAACATCTGTAGGCTCATGACAGTGTGGTCTGAGCGGTTGGTTCAAACCTGTAATGCCTCGACCACCTCGCGATAAGTCCAAAATGCACATCGAGCGGCCAGGTCCTCCTATCCGCCCAGGATGACATTTCTGCCCGCTGAGTGGGGTACTGCTCGGTCCGGTTTGACTCATCGTAGGGATGCCCAGACGAAGAGGGAATAGAACCGTTGGTGAATCCCGTCCACGCAGCAATCGTCCCAATGCCATGCGACGGAGACCCAAATGCTGCAGAGGCCGCGCAACTGCCGCTTATTTCTGAGAAAACGAGGCTTTCGGCCGCCGTGGCGTACGGGGCGTATCGCTCTGCGCCTGGTTGAAGACGTAGGGAATCTCGCTGAAGTGCGAGACCCCGAGGTAGGAGCTTTTGGCGGCCGCGTACCAGGATCGGAAGACCGTTTGGTTGAGGGCGAACAGATAATTCGCGGTGCTGGGCACGTTGGCGTGCCACGCGGTCATATGCGCGCTGGAAGGGTGCTTCTTCTGCCCGAACTCTGTGACCCGTGATCTGAAGACCGACTCCGGTTGCGCCGTCGCTCTCGCCGACAATGGTGACTTGGTCCGGGTCGCCGCCGAGCCCGGTGATGTGCTTCTGCACCCAGTCGAGGACCAGTCGCTGGCCGCGAGCGCGGGAGAGGAAGCAAGCCTAAAGATCCCGACGCAGTATATCATGGCAAAGTAGATGATAACGAAGCCCTTCTGGTCAGCGCCGGTCACGAGACCTGTCAGGTCGTAGGCTGAGTCGTAGATCTGCCCGAATGAGTCCCCTACCCCATAGATCCAAACCATGACGGAAAGCGTTGGGGAAGGAAAGGGTGTTGGCTGGTCGGTCAACTCAGAGAGTAAGGAGAGCGTGAAGAGAGATGGATTCCAGCTATCTGAGCACCTATCTAAACTGCCGGCTAAGGCAGTAAGCTGTCTAGCTAATAGAAGATCAGATATTCTATATACTCCCTTAGCTCGCCGTAAGGCCTAAATACTCTAAAGCTATTTAAACTATATAAAATTATTATAATAAAAAAAACAGACTATTTTCTTAGTATTAAAATACCGGAATAATTATATAAAATAGGATTAATAAATACTACCGGTAGAATAATTATAAAAAATATAAATAGTTTTCCACACGGTAATACTATTAAATATATAAAAATAATATAAATACTATTTAAATTATTTATTTGAATAAATATTTAAATTATTTAAAATCTGCTGTAAAAAA